GGCGGGGGCGGGCGCCGGGGTGTGCCGGGGCACCCATTCCCCCGCTCTCCCCGCTGCCTGCCCGGCGCTATTTGAAGTGGGACAAGAAATGCTCCACTGGATATCGCGGGGAGTCGATGCCCAGCCCCTGGCAGAGCCCCAGCAGGCGCTCGCAGGCCTCGGCCAGCGTGGCCCCGGCGCACGCCACGCTCAGCAGCGGCTCCTCGTACTCGCCGGCGCCCTCGGGCTCCTCGAAGAGCCGGTTGAGGCGGACGAGCCCGCGGCCGTGCAGCTCCCGCAGAGCCTGCATGCCGCCGCCGCCCGCCAGGCTCTCGCCGTGCTCGGACGCCAGGCACATCACCCCGGCCAGGTGCGTGCGGGGCGCGGGCCGGGCGGGCAGCACGGGCGGCACGCCCAGCGCCACCAGCACGGCGGCCAGCAGCAGGTCGGGGCCGTAGACCTCGCGGATCCAGTCGCGCAGGTAGAAGCCCCCCATGCGGGGGTTGATCTCCAGCAGGCGCGGCCCCGCCGGGCCCAGCTTGAGCTCCACGTTGAAGACGCCGTCGCGCAGCCCGCACGCCCGGCAGCATTGCAGCGCCGCCCGCACCAGCTGCGCCTGCCGGTCGGCGGGCAGGCAGGAGGGCAGGCAGGCCGCCGTCTCCAGGAAGGCGGGGACACGCGTGGGGCCGTTGTCCGACACCCACGCGCCCAGCAGCCGCCCCTCGAAGACCACCAGGTCCACGTCGTGCTCGGTGCCCGGCACGTACTCCATGAGCAGCATGGCGTTGCCCCAGCCCAGCCCGATGCCCGGGTGGTCGGCGTCGTCGCGCAGGTCCCTCCAGAGCCGGGCGGCGTGAGCGTGGCACTGCCCGGCGTTCTCCACCAGCCGCACGCCCACGCCGCCCGCGCCGAACTCCAGCTTGGCCACGGCGGGGAAGGGCACGGCGCCCGCCGCCCGCTCCACGTCGCCGTGGCTCCGCAGGCGGCGGCAGGGCACGGCGAAGGCGGCGGGCGGCGGGCGGCCGCGGCGGCAGCGCTGCAGGTGCCGGTGCGTGCGGCTCTTCTGCTTGGCCACCCGCACGGCGGCGGGCGCGGGGCCGCGGAGCCCCAGCCCCTGGCACACCAGGGCCGCCAGCACCACGCAGTCGTCCCAGTAGGAGAGGCAGGCGTGGGGCCGCAGCCCCCGGGAGCGCAGCAGCTCCAGCACCCGCTCCGCGTGCTCCTCGTCCCGCCGGTGCTCCCGGCTGTCGTAGGGCAGGAAGGTCTGCACCAGCCCCGCCGCGAAGTGCTCCGGGTCCGACTCCACCAGGTGGATCTGCGGGCCCGGAGAGATGTCACCGGGGGACGGCCGGCCCCGGCGCCGCGGCCGTGCCGCCCCCCGCCGCCCCCAGCCCCTCACCCTCAGCCCGTAGTCGCGGGCCGCCTCCCACACGAAGCTCTTGCTGACTCCCCCGGCCCCGATGAGCAGGATGTCCTTGCCCTCGACCAGGTGACGCTGCGCCCGGTGCAGCATGGCCTCGGCCAGCAGCCGCGGCAGCTCCCCGCGGGGCTCGCCCACGCCGCGCCCCATGGCCTCGGCCAGCACGCAGGTCTCCAGGCACCGCTGGCCGTTCGTGGCCAGGGCCACCAGCTCCAGCGCGTCATCCACGCACGCCAGCAGGAAGTCCACGCCTGGGGATGGTGACGGTGACACCGGGCTCAGAAACACGGGGTGACAGCCGGCACCGGCGGCGTCGCCCGCGCCGCGCTCACCCAGGATGTCGGTGTGGGCACGGCTGCCGCCGCGCTGCCGCGGGCTCAGCTCGGCCTCGCTGGCCAGGAGGGCGGCCGCGGCGGCCTCGGTGGCCTCCCGCAGCCGTGTGGCCAGCGCCTGTCGCTGGCTGGGGGCCACCACCCCCCACTGCTGCAGGCTGGAGTCCAGGCCCTGGGGCAGCGCCGCGCCGTGACGCACCGGGCTCTCTGCGCGTCCCACGGCGCAGGCCACCTGTGGGGACACGGGGACACCCACGTGTGTGCGGGGACACCGGCTGCCACCGGGGTATGGGGACGTTGGCTGCCGACCCACAGTCTGGGGACGCAGCTGCCGCCAGGGCGTAGGGAGCTTTGGTGACACATTGGCCCAAGGCATGGATGTGGATGGCCACCAATCCTGGGGACAACCAGGGCCACCAGGGCATGGGGACATGGACAGGCACACAGGGCATAGCACACAGGTTACCACAGCCTGGGCACAAGACTGCCACCATAGCCTGGGGACATACAGGGCCACCAGGACATGGGGACAGCCGTCACAAGCTGGGGATGCACAGAGGCAGCGGGGTGTGGGGACATGCCGTACCTGGCAGAGCTGGGGCCGGTCCCCCCAGGACCTGCAGACGAGGGTGCAGATGCGCAGGGCCATGGGCAGCCGCGGGGCTGGGCTGCCTGGGGGGCAAGGGACAGGGCAGGCACGGCCGCCATGCGGGGACAGGGTGGCCCTGCCCGACCTCCCCCTCCTCCGGGGCCTTTTGGGACTCCCTGTGGCACCGTGGTGGCCCCGGCCAAGCCGAGCCCCAGGGAGTGAGTGGTACAGCATGGCCACTGTCATCCCCAGCCCCACGGGACGGTCGGGAGTCAGAGGGGGTCACCCCAACACCCTGCGCAGCCCCAGGGGACCATGGGGGTCCAGGGTGACTTTCCCCCCCACCACAGGGGACCATGGGGGTCCAGAGTGACCTTCCCCAACTCTCCTCATGGGTCTGTGGGGATCCAAGGTGGCAAACTGTCCCCCAACCCTAACCCAGGGGACAGTGGGTGTCCAGGGTGACCCTCGTGCCCTCCCCCAGGACCCCAGTAATTTGGGCACCCCGATGGCCCCCACCCA